TCAAGTCAAGTATAGTACAGAAAAGAATACATGTTCATTCTGTTATACGATAGTTCCATATTCTTTTTTTCAGCCATATTGAATAATTCTGTTCTCAATTTTCTCTCCAATCAAATTACCGGTGAATAAATTCACCGATGCGAATTTTGATGGCTTCCCTTAGACCGCATCTTTTTCGTTTTCTTGTCCATACGGAACTTGTAGTCACTCTATTGCTTCAGTATGAAGGTTGGATTTTCCGGAGACTTATCCTCATCGAGAGGAAGACGTATCAATCTTCTTTACGTTGGGAACTACAATAATTCGTGAACTTTTAAAAAAAAAAGAAGAGAAAGAACTTAAAAAAAATAAGTTATATTTTATAACTTTTGTTAAATCCCGTTCTTCTTTCCATTCAACAAATATCTCAGCTTAACGTTCGTGTTCGATTTTCAATTGACTTTTCTTCGCAAAAGGTTTGAAGAACACGGTCTATCTACTAGCCTTTATTAAAAAAAAAGAAGGGTTTTAATGTATATGAGTACAAAAACTATGTGCACATAAGCGCTTTTAGTTCTCTTCGAGTCTTTTCTCTCTCTTCCTGAACTGGCAGATCTCTACATGATAGCTGTGTCGTTGATGGTGCCTACATCCCATGATGGAAGTCATACGCCATATCAAAACGCGCGTTATATGCGCCGCTGATATCCTGACTTACTGCCACCACCATTAGGCCTGGTTTTGGAGTAGGCCACGCATCACTTGCGGCGAGCTCTATTCTGCATTCAGGCACCCATAGGCTGTCATCTAACCGTTGAGCGACGTGCAATGCCAGCTTCCGATTGTTTTCGAAACCTGGATATGGTTTGATGATAACCATACAGCTTTTCTCTAATTGCCCTACCCATGTACCAAGATTACATATTTTATAAAGTTTGTCATTTAGCGTCTAGGTTCTATGAATGTTGCGTCTATGTTCTAGAGAACTCTCTCTCGCCTCGATTGATATTGCGGACGATGATGGTGCAGCCATTTATCGTTTGTTAATAATTTAGAAGAATCTTTTAGTGGAAATTTAAGTCTGAAAAACTTTCTTTAATATATTTTTAAGAAGTTTATTCTCTTAGCAACGCGCCAGAAATATTTTCGTTTATTAATTCCTGTATTCTTTTCCTTCTCTTTTTTTGCGCAATAGTATTATTGGCAGTTCTCGAGTTGAGTTATTCTTCTTCGAAGAACTTCTTCTGTCGCTTATTCCAAAACTTGACTAGTTTGGATTTTGTTTATAATTAAAAACAAACTCAATTGAATTTACACACACAAACTAGAACTGAACGAAATTACACTCTGTTTTCAATTAAAATTCCGGAATCATAAAAATAAATAAGATTAAACTCGTCCATATAAGACTCGTTCATAGAACCTATGACGCCCGAGTTTTCGCAAAAACGATTCTTCGCGGAGTGGCCGGTGGCCTATTGCCCAAGGTGCTGACGGTGGTGAATAGCCAGGTTTTCTGGGCAAAGAGTAATGCCAAATATAGCACTCTTTGCCGCCAGTTTCCGCCGTTAAATTATAACAATTATTGTTTTCGTACCGGAAAACAATAACGGTTAATAATTTCGATCCGAATCTTTTCTCTAAATGATTTGTGCGCTTAAAGTACCAAAGTTGAAATATAGGAAGGATGAGAGTGATGGATACTTTCTATACAGGGACAGTACAGCCATTCGGAGTATAGCAACAACCACACTCTCATTTCCATGGAACGCGTACACAAAAAGGTTCGGGACTGTATTACAAGTTGTTTCTAGTATTCATATAGTTACAAGCTCATCGATCCTTACAGACGGATTAAGATTTCCATGTATTTTCCGCAGTTTTCATGTAACGGGGCCTCCGTGACCGTTAGGCAACTGCATAGCCATTTATTCGGAAAAAGTGTGGGCAAGCCATTTATTCTGGAAACGGCACAATTTATTTATCCAGTAATAAACTGTAACCGACGCGGCTTTTAATAGGGAAAAAACTTTTACGAAGCTAACATAGCACAAACAAAAACTCGAACCACAGCGATTATCGAGTAAACTATCAACAATTTAAAAAACAGATATTGTTTAGACGAAACTTTCATTACTCAGTAACATACAAATGATCAAAATAGCCGAATCCCACCTTGAATCTAACGTCCAACAATTGCTGCAAACCCACTCGCATAAAAAAGCATACGTTTTGGACATGATTACCCCGAAATAAAACTAAATCTATTCCTAACTTAATCTACATCTACAGGACATACCCCTATCTATCTATGCATGTATGTATAAATAAAACTAAACATATTCCTAACTAAATCTCTATCTACAAGATATAATCCTACCTATGTATATATATATATATAGTTATGTCAAAGCATTTATTTTCGAAGTGATAGTAAGCAGTTGAGGTCCATTTATATTCGAACTCGAATCAGGCAACTCATGTCTTTCATTTGTGTTTTTTTTTGTGTACTTCTTTTATGTGGTCTTACCCTACACCAAATGGTAGTGGGTCTGACTAACTAACTAACACTAGACTTAGAATTGATAGGTCTTTCATATGAGACCGAGAAAACAGAAATGTTTTTTTCGGCTCTGAACACTCTTGCATGGCGGCCGGCCGTCGCTTAGGCGCAAGAAACGTCAAATATTTGTGAATCGCATAAAAAGCTTCCGGTGCCCTTTTGTAGAGCTATTCTCGGACTATAGATGCGTTACTCCAAATATATGTAGAATAGGGAAGGAAATTTTTTATAAGTGGATTAAAAGTTGAGTGGTTTCCGCTACTTGATGTAGTGATGAACTTGTCATAAAAGCACCACGTATTTTCAACTTGTGAGCAGTCACAAACCAGGATACCAAGAGATTTTTAAACTTTTTGTTTTACCATTCAACTCAGCGTAACGAGTACTGCAAACCCTGAAATTGGTGCACTTATCGCAGAAACTGTTGTATATGTTGGGAGATTTTCGAATATTTCAAATATTTATTTGGCTTTTTGATTATGTCTAATATTTCGACAGAATGAGCCTGTAATGCATAAATTAACTGAGCAAATAATTCAAGAAGAACAAATAAAAACCAATAAGGAAACATTACAGAGATATCAATCGATCATTACACCTATCAGAAAACTTCAACGAATGGATTAGCAAAAATGAGAGATTTTTTAGAAAATTTACAACATGACAAAGCACCAAACCCAATAATTATGAAGACAACAACATCAGTAATCAAGTTTCAACCAATAATATTGCTACCTGAAGAAAAAAAATCGCACAAGGTTGCTTTTTTAGGCGTTTTTCTCGTCATATTTTCATGTTACAAAAATGCAAATTCAACATCAATCCATTGTTTAGAATTATGAAACCGCAGTATGTCGATTGGTGAAACTTCCGGAGTTGTAGCCTGTTCCTGGATCGAATTAACCGAAGCATATCATTAAATACTAGACAAAAGTCTGCGTCTTTTCAGTCTGTAACGAAGTTTTAAAAGTTATTCGACTATGTTGGAATAGTCAAAATTTTCCATACTGAATTTTACGCCAAAGGGCTGTGCTTCTTCCTGCTTGTTATGCTACAAAATTATATCGAGAAATGACAAAGGATAAATTAGTAGAAGTTATTTTTACAGCGGTTTCAATAAATTTATTTTCTTTCGACGTTTCGAGTTCACATGAACTCATTTTCAAGATTTGAAAAAAATTGTTAAAAACGATTACAAAGCTAAAAATACAAAAGCTTGTCGCATATATTTATTGTTGCTATGGAATGTCTATTGCGGTTTTTGTGTTAAAAATTTTTCGATTCTTTTTCCTATAACCTCCAGGATCAGGTATAAAGGTTGAGGGTATACCTGGTGGATAAATGTAGAGGGGTGTTGATGCAACTGTCTTATTTAGAATGGGATTTAAGCTTTTTATAGCTAAAGCTTCTTTTATTAGAAGTCTTTGTGGTTGTTTATCAGTCATTAATAAATGATAGTCTTTTAATGTTATTTGTTTTCCAGTTTCAAACATATGTATATAAAACGGTGATTTTTTGGCTACTGTTGGGGTCGGTGGAATTAATGGTAATGTAATTGATGGTTGAGGTTGCTCTAATGGTCGCTGTATTTCACCAAGAGCATTTAGACATGCATATTCTAATTGTCGATCATTAATCATTTCGAGAAGTTTATGACGTAATTGTTGATTTGGAATAAGATGATGATTATTAGTAATAGAATTTTGTTGTAATGGTGTGATACTATTATTTGTTTGTTGTTGTGATGTTGAATTATTTTGTTGTT